AATTAAATTGGTGCTCAGGGTTGTAGAAGTTGGTGCCTTAGCATTAGCCTTTGCTATGTTGTGTTATAATGCTTTACCATTAGCTCCTGCTAAATACTGTGTTGGTGTAGCTTTAGCATTAGCTTTGACTAAATACTGTGTTGGGGTAGCTTTAGCATTAGCATTGACTAAATACTGTGTTGGGGTAGCTTTAGCATTGACTAAATACTGTGTTGGGGTAGCTTTAGCATTAGCTTTGACTAAATATTGTGTTGGTGTAGCTTTAGTATTAGCTTTAACTAAATACTGTGTTGGGGTAGCTTTAGCATTAGCTTTGACTAAATACTCTGTTGGGGTAGCATTAGTGGAACTCATTTTTATGACTAGCTCTTTATGGTTAGCGCAGCTAGCTTCTCAGTTAGTGGTGCCCACCACTGTTCAGAAGCCTAAACACCAAACACAGCAGCATTAAGCTGTAAGACATGATCTAATTTATTTGATTTAAAACAGAAGAGAAACAGTCAGTCCATCTGCTGCTTAAATAAACTGAACTATTGATTATTGAAGGTATATTATTATTAATTAAAGTTTATACAGGAATTCCTGTGCAAAATTCAATACAAAGAGTCTGGTTAGCTAGCCTGCAGTCTGCTGCTTTACAGCGATGCTGCTATTAGCATTATCATGTTAATAAGAGGACTGGGCTCATTTTGTTTTCACGATTCAATCGTTGGTGTTGCAGTGAGTTTGACCTAAGAACCATCTAGATGCCCAGAAGAATCTATTTGTGTTTGATTAGTTGGTTCTGAGATGCAGCCTCTGAGTCGGGATTTGATCTTCTCAGTGAAACCAGGTCACCGTTTCCAGCAGCCAGGTGTGGAGTGCAGCAGGAAAACCTGGCGCCTCATAAATCACTGGAACCTGTCCAACCGGAAAAGCACAAGAGGAGCTGCTTAAACGCCTCCTGCTTCACCTCAAGATTATTTCAGGAATTTAAAGACCCGTTTGGTTGCATTTAGCAGCTCCATGTTTGTTCCAGGTTTGAGTCTCCTTCAGAGACACCAACAGTCTGCTGCAGAGACTTTGGTTATTTTCAGATGCCAACAGTGGCTGAGGCCTCTAAAAGCCCAGAGGAGCATCTGAGTGTCGTTGGTTTTATTTATAACCAGGAAGGCTGAGAAACGCTGAGAGTCAGAAATATCCAAACTATCTAAAGAAGTTAAATCAGGAGATTTTCTCAGGGTTGTTTTAAACCTGAACAGTCAGCAACAAACATTTCTGCTATTTATCATCATTTTTAATCTGGAGTAGCAGCTCAGAGATCCCACCCTTCACAGATCGATTCTGCTTTTACCTGAATGAGCGACGTGCAAACGATGGCTCCGGCGTTCACCATGGGGTTGTGGGGCTTATCTGCCAAAACAACAGGAGCTCAGTTAGCCGCTGTCGCAACAGGAGCTCACAGGAAAATCAGCAACAAGCGCAGAACAAACAGACCCAACGTGGCACAAATAAAGTAAAGGGATTCATTTAAAACAGAAACTCGAAAAGCAAAAAGTTTCTACAGGTTTTAAAGTCAAAATGAGCCAGGTTAATATAGTACACTTTATTATGTATTTATTTTTAATTATGTCCTAAATTATTTATTTTAAATTTTCATTATCATTATTCGCATTACATATTTTATTTGCATCATCATATTATTTTGATTTGTATCACTAATATTTTTCTTAGATATACTATAGTTTTAATTTTTACAATTAATCTCATTCTTATATATAGTACTACATATGTTAATTTTTTTTCCATTATATTTTATTTGCAATGCTATTTTGTAATTTGTATTGTCAATTTAGTTTTATATTTTTGTATCATTCTTATATTTTTATCATTATTTTTACTCTTAACCAGACGTTAAAACACCTGGAAAACCAAGCAGAGCTGCAGGATCTGGAAATCCAAGCTCTACTTTCTGTCAAACTGATTCTAGATGCAGCTCTCTGCTTCTGACATCCAATCAACACAGGAAGAGTTAAACCACGTCAGGGGAGAAAACGGCGACATTCCTGTCTTTACGCAGCAGCAGGAAGCAGATCCGGTTCTGACCCGGTGAAGTCTCACCGTCTTCGTTCAGGAAGAGTTTGTTGAAGCGCAGGCCGCTGGGCTCCTTCCCGATGAAGCTGTGAACGTACTCGGTGCCGTGGTCATGAACCGCCACGGCGTACTTCAGAGGCTTCACACAGGACTGCAGGCAGAAAGGGACCTTGGTGTCGCCCACCATGTGCCTGTGCAAAAAACAAAACCACTCATTAAAGGTCAACATGCAGCAGTAGGTTATAAATAATCAGGATCCTTCAAATAGACCAATAAAACAGGTCACAACTTCATAACAAAACAGTTTTATCTTTATGGAGTCGTTTTTCCACAGACACGCGCTGAGCCAATCAGAAAGCAGCGTCAGGTACACACGTCCATTAATCATTGATCAGTACTGCTGCCAGTTATCTTCTGTACAAGTTTCCCAATTTCAGAGAAATAAACGCCTTTAGACATGAAGTCTAATGACTCCACGTGAGGACATGATGTCCTGAGGACAGTAGACTCTGCAAATGGGAGAACTGGACCAGAAACAACATACAAACATTTGTTCTTGGACAGTAAAGGAGTAAAACATAAAACATGTTTTACAAAGTCCTACGAAGGCTACTTAAGTGCTATTTTGCATAAAATACTTAATTTTTAACAATTAATATATTTTGCTCACGTACTGTGTTCATTTCTGACTGAAATACTTTATTTTGTGCTTCTATACCAAGTATTGTTCCAACCGCTGCTAAGCTAGCTAGCTGCTAATCTAGCGCGGCAACTAGCATGCTAGCGGCAAAATGCTAACAAACTAGGAACTGTTATTTCACTCGGAAAACGCAGTCTACATTAGACTAGTTAGTACAATAGCAGAAAATATGAGATGACCACTTGATGGAAATCATATCCATGAGGTTAGTGATCGTCATCAACCTGTAATTAACCTAAAACGAAGACGGAAACTCTTGAAAAGCAGAGCAAGATGTAGCACCGCTACCGTGTGGTGTAACTCGGTACTACACCTCATTAAATACTTGACGTTATCAATTTAAAAAAACAATGTGGTGCCCCTTTTTTTGAGGATTTTGTTGTTGCTGGTTTCATGCTAATGTGTATCTAAAGACAAACTCCTGTTGATCCTTGCTGTCAGGTAAAATGTGTCATTTCAGTGGAAAACATTGAGTTGGTGCTGGAAGTCTCACCTCTGTCCATCGACAGTGCAGAGCGAGACGGCCCACAGGTCCGGGCTGAACTTGGCGAGCTGAGGAATGTAATCTGCTACCTGGAAAAAGAGGCGAGGCCGGAGTGAGAAAGAAAGGCATCGCCTTTCAGCGCTCAGGTTCAGGGTCCAGTGGAGCGCCTCCGACAACAACCCGTCCAATCTGCTTCTGCGGAGGAGAAACGGACAAATCCGCCCAGAGACGACCAAAACCAGCTGCTGACCTGAAAACTAAGTACACCCCATGAGCCTGTTCAGCAGGAATGTCCTGTTTCCAACGTTTCCTGAAGGTTCCACTACAGCTTTTCAATCAGGACGAGTCTGGACTTTGACTAGGCCGTCATTCCTCCACCACAGTGCTGATGTGCTGTGTCTGGTTTCCTTCATCTTAGTCAACGTCTCTGGTCTCCTCTGTCCAGAGGACATCGTCCCAGACGTCTTTCATCCAGTGCAGCTGCTAACCTCAGTCTAGTTCTTGTTTTAATTTTATTTTTTTATATTTTATCATTTACTTAATTTAGATTCTTAAATTTTTATCACCTTCATAAAATAAAAGCCTGTCATTTTTTTGCCAAAAGTTTTCTTCTTTGTCTTAAAAAAAAGAAGACAGGTCATTATGTAAGGAAGCAGATTATTTTGAACTTTAAAAAAAAAAACCTTAATTTTGTTGTAATTTTTTCACTGGTTTTATTTTTTCATTTTATTTGTTTTACTTGTATTATTTTTGATATTTTATTTTCTTGCATTATTTTTAAGTGTATTATCTCATTTTTTTCACCAATTTTTAACATTTTACTTTTATTTTAAAAAATTAACTATTATATTTTTAACTTTCTAAATGTATTTTTATTTTTGAATTAATTTTTTTTAAATCATTCATTTTTATCTTGGGAATTATCTTCCTCTCTGGGGAGTTCAGATGGTCTTGCGATGACCTTTGACCCTTCCCCAGCTCCTCCTCGAGGGTCGGAGGGACCTGCTGATGGAGGTGTGAACTCTGCTGATGTCTTGTGGCAGCATCAGGGATGTACTTAGTTTTTCCTCGGGTGGCGTTGCCATTTTGGCTCCGTCTGAATGCAAGGTGTGAATTTTCCATGATTTTGTCAGCAGGTTTTGGTCTCAGGCTGCAGCAGCAGAACATCCTGCAGCGCTGTGTGAAAGTAGCAGCTCTCTGATACTTCTGACACGTCTGAAGGGCCAATTTCTCCCGTTTCAATCCCAGCAGAGAGCAGCAAACCCACACCAGGCCGACGATTATGAATCCGAATGCAGAAATAAATGATAAACATGAAAAAGCAAAAACACCCCAAAACCTGACGGCCGTAGGGACACACCTGCCCTCCAGAGAGGTTTTTGGCTTTCTCATAAAGCTGGTCAATATGGGAGGTGAAGGACTGGAAGTCGGGGATGACGAACTTCTTGCGGAAGGCCTGAGTGAGCAGGACAATGTTGCTCTGGACACACCTGATGAACAGAACCAGACAGCATGCTGAGACAGCGCGGCGGCGGCGGCGCCATGCAGCTGCAGTTTGCCGACCAGCTCAGCCACTCTGAAGTCTGACAAACTGGATGAGTAAAAACTGATGCAGAGTGGAGAGGCACAGCCAGAAAGTCCTCATTTCTGCTGTTTCCACGGGAACCGGGTCTGAGTGGAACAACCTGCGGTTCCGGTGAGTCCGGCGGACCTTACTTCTTGAACAGGTGGCGGTCCAGCGTCACGCCGTCCGGAGTCTTCTTCAGCGTCTGCTTCAGCGTCTCCATGCACTCCTTCAGGCGGGGGTCTCCGGTCCAAAGCCCAGTGGCCTTCAGCGCCTGGCTCCCAGGGTCAAAGGTCGGTTACAAAGCTCTGCAACAGAAACTACAGGAAGGAAGTTCTGATTGAGGAACTCACTGTGAGGAACTTGTGAGCTGGAATCTTCTCTTGACCTTCAGCGACCGTGTAGAAGAGCAGATCCTCCAAACTGGGCAGGATTCCTGGATTCCTCCTCCTGACGGCAACAGAGAAAAACTCATCCGCTTAATGACTGGCTAGCACCGCTAACTGAGCAACACCCACAGGCTAAGGACAGGGAGAGTACTTGCCAACATTAGTTTTGGATAGGCCATCAACTAGCATGCTGGATAGCCTTCTTCCTCAGCAGGCTAATAGCAAAGGTAGGCTAGAATTATCCTTGGATAGGCTAATGTTAGCACTAGAAAGGCTAATGTTAGCCTTGGATAACCTCATGCTAATACTAGCACTAGATAGCCTACTTAATGCTAGTGTTAGCCTAGTTAATGCTAGTTGATATCCTAATGCTAGCACCAGACAGGCTAAGAGCTAGCATGCCCAGGCTGGTCACTTGATACTCAGTTTTTATTCCCCCCCCCAGAGAAAATTAAAATGAAAATCCATATTAGAGGTTTAAAAAATCAGACTGTCTGTAACCGCTACGGGAAGCCGACTGGGTCAGAATCAGACTCCTCATCCTGACCCCGATCATGACTGTCAATCCGCTACAAACGGCCGAACCACGATGTCAACAATGCCGATACGAAGATCAGTAATTACTGAAAATACAGTTTGAGTTTCTCTGTATACTGCGCAACTCAAATGTTCATAAAACTGACATTTGACTCGGGGCTTTATATGTTTGTTCAGTGTAGTTTCTAACTGTTTAGCGTAGAAACGTGTTGACATTTATAAACTGGAGCCAATGAAAGATGCTGCAGGGAGTGAAGTAACTTCAGAGGAGGAAAGTTTTCATCTGCTCTTTATTTCTGCTGTTTTTCCTTCCAGTTGATCTCCTTGGTGCTACAATCCCAGTTCCTGCAAACTTGGACATTTCCGTGACTTTTCTCATAACGTAATAAAATAAATGGGAATAAATGGAGCCTTTGTCACTTTTAACCCCTGAAGGATTCAGTTTTAAACCAAAACAGAGGAAACACTGATAGGAAATAAAACAATGAGCAGCTCAAAACGTTCCAACTTCCTGTCAAAAAGTCAACTTTAAAAATATGCAGGCATGAATCAGTACAGCTTAAAACGCTTTAGTGAAATGAAAGAAGCAACCATCCGCTCTTCTGTGTGACTCGGTTTTCTCCGAGGATTTTTCCACATGAGGAAATAATGAATGCAGCTTCTGGGACGGAGCCAAGAGTTTAGCAGCAAACAGAACAAACTACCAGCTCTGATTATCAGCAGTAGAACTGGAACTAAAACATGTTGGATGATGGACTAAAATATCATTTATTGAGGTAAATTATAATATTATTGTTTTGACACCATTTTCAACTGATGATGGAAAAAATTCCCTCTGAAGGATTAAAGTTTAATCTGCTGTGAACTGGATCCAGAAATGAAGTGAAACTCTGGAAATGGAAACATTTAAAACAGAAAACAAATGAAAACCACAAACCATAAATAAAACGGATTATTACACAGAAAACTGCTAATAGTTAGAAAGGAAATCACTGAGCTCATTTTATCGTTGATAAATCATCAATTATTGGGAAACGCCTAACGGTTGAAGATTATTTAGACTTAAAGTTTTGATGCTTTTAATCAATAAGTAAATATTAAATAAACTTTTTAGTATTAGACGAGTTGATCAGATATTCTGATCTTTGGTTGATTTGATTTGATAATTTCTATTAAAGTTAACTTCTAGTTGTCTTGGAAACACGGATGGATGGATGGATGGATGGATGGATGGATGAACAGATGGATGGATGGATGAACAGATGGATGGATGGATGAACAGATAGATGGATGGATGAACAGATGGATGGATGAACAGATGGATGGATGGATGAACAGATGGATGGATGGATGAACAAATGGATGGATGAACAAATGGATGGATGAACAGATGATGGATGGATGGATGGATGGATGAACAGATGGATGGATGAACGGATGGATGAACAGATGATGGATGGATGGATGGATGGATGAACAGATGGATGGATGAACGGATGGATGAACAGATGATGGATGGATGGATGGATGGATGAACAGA